TAATTTTTCAGTTTTTTCTATACTCAAAAAATTTTGAGAAAATCTAAAATTATTGTCCTTCAATTTCTTTCAATATAGGTATTTATTTTCTTGTGTCTAATATATGACTAATAAAATATATTGCTTTAAGTTTTTGTTACAGTATTGCTAATCAAAAACATTTTTGGAGTCTTACTCAGTGGCGTAACCAGGATTTTTAAATAGAAGGGATTAATTTTTTTTTGGGGCAGATTAGGTGAGAAATGCTTTAAGATTTCACCAATAACCCCCTCTCACCACTAAATTTAAAAATGTATTTCCAGCATTTTAAAACAGTTTTAATAATATTTGTTAAAACGGAATTAATAATTAACGATGGTCAGCTGCGGTATTATAGTCACGACTTAACATGGTATAAAAACTAGTGATGATGAAATTAAGTGTTAGACGAGGGTCGCCACAACGTTCACGATAACCACTAAAAATATAATAGTAATCACGACATATGTAATACACTTTTGTATATACCAATGACCAACACCCGTTATTTGTCAACATTTAGTTGTTACCAAAATTTTAAAATATTTAAATACCAAATAGTATACTAGTTCAGTACATACACATAAATACGATCCATAAGAGGGGGATATAGTCCCCTTAGCCCCCCCCTCCCCCTATTGACTACGCTATTGGTCTTACTAATTGGACATAGAATCTATATTATTTATCTAATTGAGTAAAATAATTGGTAATTTATTTCAAACATTTTAAAATATCATACAATTCATTTAAGTTATACTATTCATATCAAAGTCAGCGAACAGACGCTACTGTGTTAAATATATTGTAACTTCGAAATAAGTTAGAATTATTACCAAATTTTTCTTAATTTAACCTATTTATGTGCTATCTACTTGTATACTTGTATAATTCTATATTTAGAGTTTTTTTTAATTATAAAAACATCATGTAAATTGTAATTGTTTCCTTTATGTGATTTACAGTGGTATATTTCAATTATTATAAAACTCTCTAACTTGCGCTTCTATTCTACTTAAAAAATTGATCCCAAAGTTTGGAAGTACCGTTTAGGTTTTCATAATTGTATTCAGCTGTTTAATACCTTTAAAAAATTTCCAAGATTACATTTACATTTCATTTTTGGGGCTTAACTGTTTGATATTGATTGAAAATGCCAGCATATTTACATATTTAAAAACCTGCATCGATTAATTTATTTCCACGATGTGCATTGATTTGCATATTCTCATTATATTAACCATAGGAAATTGACTTATGAATAAGGTCAGTTAAGTACGTGTTACGAGTATGAAAATGACAACCAGACATCTTGTATATTTATTACCGGTTTTTATAGAGGTCAATGGCCGTCCTTGGTCATTTCTTCTCAATTTCCAAAAATCAAAGTACATACACATTGTTAACTGTTTGTTTGAATACTAAAGTATCTAAATGAGTAACATATGATTAGTAACTACATTACTATTGTTTTCGATTTTTACGTAAACATTATACATTGTAAATTATTTGTGTATTGTAGATTTATCAGGAGGGAGGGAAAATGCATAGTCTATTATCTAATATTTATAATTTATAGTATAGTATGAATAATTTAATGTATGGTTTATACGAAACGGCATTCGCGAATGTTCGTAGGTAGTTTTACTGTGTACGCATGACACGGAAGTAAAAAATTGACCGTTAGATGGTTGTAACTATAAAAAGAATAAGCTATTATTAATCAAATAACTATATTCTGTTATAAAGAATGAAATACATCTTATCAAATCATTGTTTAAAAATGCAATTTTTTTCTTTAACTTTGCGTTACACAAATAATTCGAAGCCAGTTAAATAACTTATATGAAATAAAATAAGAACTATTTTAATTCGAAAGAAAAATAAGGGCTTGTTATACCTAACCTTAGTAGTTATTGAGTTTTTATTTATTAGTATATTTTTACTTAGAAAATAATATTTTTTAATTTATCAAATTATATTTAAAACATTATACGATGTATAGTAATTACCTTGTAATATATCCTGAATAAATGTAAAATGGTAAATACCATTAAAAAAAAAAAAAATCCTAGTAAAAAATATTTTTGTCATTAGAGAAGTTAAAAAATTATTTTAATTATTTAAAAATGTTCATTATACATTTATATTTTATGTTTAGATTTCATAAAAAATTGCAACATTCTTATGTGTCAATATATAAATAAAACTATTTAAACAAAGTGTTACAGACTATAAGAATTACTGATCTAATTATTCGTTAAAACCTTTATAATATTATGCAGAATACTTGTAATTGTTTTTGTTAATACAATTAATCAATTCATTTTTAAAAATATAATATAGGTACTTTTAAAAGATTCTCACAATTAAAACTTAATTTTTATAATAACTGACATTTCTCTAATACCAAATCGTATAAATAAATTGTTGTTGAGCATTCAGTGAAATATATTACATTCTATATTGCTTCTTATTTTATAATAATCAAATAAATATTTATTGAATATTTTACATGCTACATATATTTTTTAAACCTAGTATATTTTTTTTAGCGTTATAGTAAATATTATAATACCAATATTAATTTATTCACGATGGCTTGTAAAAAATAATTTATAAATTATAACTGATTAATGAGACCCCCGATGAGACCTATTTCTTTAAATTTTTTTTTGGGTTATCTGGCCGTTACGATCATCCCGTCTCACAACCAATTCTCCAGCTGTCTTTATTCATCGCCAAATTCTACCAGTTTACTCTGCCTCCTAATTGATGAGACCTACGATAAATTATATTCTATAATCATAACTAAGGTACGAATCTATATGTATTTAAAACTAAAAATATGAATGTATTTATGTATGTATTTTTCTCTAAATAAGAAATTAAAAATACATAATATGTAAAATACAATAATTTAATTTTTTAAAAAGAATAAAGTGGGTTAATACGTTTAAACCAGGGGTCACAAATGAATACTTTCCGTTGGCTGTATTAAGAATTCAGAAAATTTTCGCGAGCCATAAAAATTCAAAGTACATAATAATTATTACAATATGCCAATTGGCCAAAACTATTTAATTTTTAAATAAAAAAAATATACACTTAACCAAAACTAATGAAAATATAATTGTATTTAAGATTTTTAAATTAATTTTTTTAATGAGAAAAATGCAGATCTTGCTCACAAGTAGCTGCTTTTAGTCGGGATTATTGTTTATGGTCGCTATCTTCTTCATATTTCAAGGTGTTCGTTGGTGAGTTAAGTTCAGAATTTGTTTTTCATATAATTCATTTTTGAAAAAGCAGACTCACAGACGTGTGTGTGCAGCCAAACATTATACACATTTTTACTATCAATAATTTCAGCGTCGGGTAGGCATTAAAATGTGTGACTTAACGTGTTTTCGATTTGTATTAAAATTTTAAATAAATAATAAAATAGATAAGATAAGAAAGCTCCATGGGTATGATATTTGATGCCGTCAAAAAACCTAATAATGTACGAACATAAGAAATTACTCATAACATTTATTATTACAACCACAGAATAAATGAAATCAGAATGGTCACTTCTAATTGTAAACAAAATTCAATCACCATATTTTTAGAGTACTAATTACTTATCACACTAAAAGTGATAACATTTATTCTGTAATTATTTTGAAAACATTGACGTGCACGTGCTTCATAGTTCATTGTATTGACTCAATAAATATTGTGTATTAAACTTTGTTAATTTCTAAATAAATAATTTTCGTATTTCTTGTTCATAAAAAAAAGTTATTTATTTATTTACAATGGGAGGAATGAAGTGTGCTGTGAAAGGATATAAAAATGCAATGAAAATTATTATTGGCATAGTTCTATCATAGAATAAATTAAAATTATTCTGTTTTACAATGTTACTAGTGACAAACTGTTATATATTTAATGAATTTAAATATAAAATTAAATTTCAATAGTTTTATACAAATGCTACAATACAACAGCAGTTGTAATTAAGTAAATTATCAGTCTATGTGTTAGGTGGTCACACTGTTGGGCCTCCAAAACAATGACCGAATGATTTTTGAACTCCCTTATGTTCCCTGTGTAAAATCTTATCAGTGACCATTCTGATTTCATTTATTCTGTTACAACAGTCACCCTTAATAATAATTACGGTATTAAATTATCGGCATCTTCTCTTCTTGTCTGCGGACCGGTTAAAATTCATCTGTGGGGTGCCATTTGGTGATCCCTGGTTTAAACGATTCGTTAAATTAGTGTGTCTCAACCGGTGTGTCGCCGAGCAATTCCAAATGTGTCGCGTGAAGTACTAATATTAAATGACAAAAAACATTATTAACACTATTAACTATTTACAAAAATTAATAGGTATTTGATATAATTTCCATGATAGTAAAAATAGATATACAGCTATCGACATAAAATAAATTGTATTATTATCGTTGGGTTATTATTATTATCGTCATTTTGAACGATTAATCGCGCTCGAATCGTCTATTGTGTGTCATCTTAATTTATAAATGTTTTTGATATTTTCGTTTATTTTTAAACAGTGAATACGTATAGTATATTTATACTGAAAACATGCACCGTATCAATAACTCACTTTATTTGTATGCTCAGTTGTTATTTACTTCTATAGTCGAATAGACTTTTTCTTAATTTACTAACAACAATATTTTTTTGTTACTAATTAAAATAAAATGGATAAATTTTTGATTAAAAAAATACAAGTAGTAAGAGAGAATACAGATGAAGACAATTTGGAAGTAGAAAAAAACTCGTCATCTTCTGTAAATGCATCGTCAAGTTTTAAAGAAATACAAGAAAATCCTTCTAAAAAATTCAAAGGTAAATATCGTCAATACAATGAAAATTATTTAAAATTAGGATTGGTTTGGGTCGGCGACGAACATTGTCCTATTCCTTATTGTTTTATTTGTGACGAAAAATTGTCGAATGAATCAATGGTTCACAAAAAGCTAACCCGCCATTTCACCAAAAAACATCAATCGTTACAAAACAAACAAATTGATTATTTTCGAAGACTATTAGATTCAAAAAAACTACAATCAAAACAATTTGTAAGATCAGTGAAAATTTCGGATAAGGCACAGGAAGCTAGTTTTCGTATCGCCCAATTGATAGCTCAAAAAAAAAAAAAATCTCATTTAATTGCCGAGAGTCTTATTATGCCACCTTGTCGTATTATGGTAAAGACTATGTTAAGAGTCGAAGCAGAAAAAGAAATAATTAAAATACCATTATCTGATAGTACAATTAGTCGTAGGATTATAAATATATCAGAGGATATTGAGGAGCAGGTTATTGAAGTTATAAAAAGTGGAGAATTATTTGCCTTGCAAGATAATGAATCAACAGACATAAGTGGGAAAGCTCAATTAATGGCATTTATTAGATTTATTTACCCGATGAATTTTGGTGTTCAAAATTAGCATATTTAGCTGATATTTTTGAACACCTGAATCAATTAAATTTAAGCATGCAAGGTGAAAATCAAAATTTATTAATATCTATAGACAAAATGGCTGAATTTAAAGGCTAATTATTGATTTGGAAAAGAAGGATAAATGATAATAATTTGGATATGTTTCCTTTAACTGCTAATACTAAATTCACTGATAAAATAATACCAATTATCAATGACTCAATAACATTATTGGACCAAAAACTTGATCATTATTTTTCATTACTGGATTTGAAATTATTTGATTGGGTGAGGAATCCATTTAATCCTAGTTTAGAAACCTCACATCTTTCATTAAAAGAGGAAGATGAACTTGCAGAATTAAAAAACGATCGCACTCTTCAAATGAAATTTAATGAGCTCGAGCTAAGCCAATTTTGGATTTACACAAAAAAAGAATATCCGAACTTAACAAAATTGGCTCATTCCGTATTATTACCATTTTCGACATCATATTTGTGCGAGGTAGCTTTTTCTGCTTTGAATGAAATTAAAAACAAAAAAAGGGAAAGATTAATTAATGTCGAAGAGGAGTTAAGAGTCGCCTTATCGAAGATTTCACCACGAATTGATACATTATGTAAGAAATATCAGTCACAAATTTCTCATTAAAATGTTGTTTTACCTATGTTATATTTTTCTTTGTTGTTTTATATATTATAATTGATTATATATTATAAGTTTATATATTATTAACTAATTAAAAATATTTAATACTATCTATTATTCTTATTTTTTTTATTATGTGTCGCAAAGTATGAACAATTTTAATAGTGTGTCGCCATTATACAAAGGTTGAGAAACACTGCGTTAAATTATTAATTAAAAAATTGTTATTAAAAAGTATATCTAAGTAAATTCATTGAAGTGTAGAATCCTCGTCGTCAACAAAATAGTGGGCAACCATGTACTTTTTTAAGGTTTAAAAAGTAAATCGACGTCGATTTGGTGCAATATGTTCTTGTAGCCGTTAAAGTATTTTTCCACGTCAACAGAAGTTATAGTTGCAAAATTGAAAGCTCTTAATTCAGTATGACTGATTTGAGTCTCGTGACGTACGACTGGTTCAGTCAGTAATTTCTATAATTTGTATAATCTATGATTATATTATATGATTATCTATGAGATATTTAAAACCGTATTTAACGACGATAATGGTGATTTTTTTTTAAAAAGGGGATTATTTAATGAAATTAATCGCTTATATGTATATAAATCTAATAATTTCAACAGTATGATCGTATATTTGAATGTTTGTTACTCAGTGGCGTATATAGGGGGGGTTTTGGGGGTTCAACCCCCCCCCCCCCCCCGAAATTTATGGTTAGTACGACCCACGTGTGCATTTCTCTAATCTATGTATTAATTAAAACCAAACTGTCTAGTATGGGAAAAAATGCTCTCTCCTAATTTTTAAGCAAATTATACGCCCAATTCTTACCTACGCTTGCCCGGTATGGGGTAATTGTGCATCCTCGCACATCAAAAAAATGCAAATTGTCCAAAACAAAGTCCTGAGAATAATTGCAAATGTTCCGTGGTTTGTCAGAAATCCAAATCTGCTATTGATACTTTGAATAAACTATCCGTTGATTTTTTTCCAAATATATGGTGCTTAATGTCAATATTAGTAACTTTACCAGTCTCAACAGCGTCATCAGAAAGATCGTTTTCGATATTGAAAAGATTGAAGTCGTGCTTGAGAAATAGTACAAGCGAAAATCGACTAACAGGATTATCTCATGTAAATTCATCGAAGTATTTCAATAAACACTAAAGAAGTGAATTTTGCAAATCTACCTCGAAAATTAGACTTTGTCCTGTAATTAAATTTATGTATTCTAATTTTCATAGTTATTAAAAATAAGTTAATTTATAACCTTCATTTAGTATATATTTTTTCATAACCCCCCCCCCCCCCCCCCCAAATTAATTCCTATATACGCCACTGTTGTTACTGCTATTACCTATTTAGGTATTTATATTTTCCTTAAAATTACGACATTTTATAATATGTATTTATAAGATAATGTAAAAGGACTCCCTCAGAAAAAATTAAAAAATCTGCCACTGTACGTTTTAGATTTATGTATGCATTAAGAGTTTTGGGTATTTGTGTTTATGTTTCTTATGCATGTGATACTGTGATGATGGTCAAGTTTATTGCTCGAATAATATTTAGGATTTTGGTTTTGTTTACTGTCTACGGGTTTGATCGCTTATCGATAATAAATATTTTCACATAAAATATTATATATGTATAATATGTCTGTGACAAAAACTAACCAATAATATTTATTATTTAATATACATAGCTATAAGTAGCCGTGTAGTTTTAGTTGTATTTTATGTTATATATCTTTTATTTTTTTGAAAAGAGTAAGTATATTATTTACTAGCTATAGTTACTATAGGGGCTACAATTACTACGTACATTCTCGAGGTGGTATATTGTGTATAAGTCACTCTTTATCTTCGTATCCTAAATGAAAATTTCAATTTTCCTAATTAAAAATGTTATTGACCATATTGTTATTGTTATTGGCCATACCTGCACGAAATTTTCAGACACGCCTATGATATATATATATATATATATATATATATATGTATATTTATTATAGTTATAATTAAATTAATATTTTTTGTCCCAAGTAATTATTGGGGAGTTGTGGGGGTCTTTGCTCCTCACGGATCACCACGGAGTGGATAATTTTAGCATTCTCAAGTTTTATACTGAATGTGCGCCTATGAATATCGTATTATTTTCACAATATATGTTCAAAGGTTTTTTTTTTTTTTTTTTTGTATCAGCATGAAACAATGAATTGATAACAATAAACGAATATATATTAAAAAATACAGACTTAAAAATAGAATTAAGAAGGTAAAGCATGTCGGGTTTGATTGGTTTTTTTTCAGATTATAGTCAAATTTATGGACTTTTTACTATATTTAATATTCCAATACAATAAAACTATTAAACACGTTGGTGACCCCGTTTTTGCTATCTGTTCATAGTCTCTATAAAATGAAAACTATAATAAAATCATTTGTAGTGACATCTAGTAAATCAATTTGTTACCAATCAATTTGTCTGATAAAGGCAAACACGTAAAATAAGACAGAAAAATATTTAATCTTTTTTGAATAAAATTAATATCATATTTTCATATATTATGAATAAAAATTAAAAGCAGTCAATGATAAATTGGAGCCTAAGTCATTTTTGACTAAAAATATATATTATTTGTATATGTATTCTTATCAAACAATAATTTTTAAAACTCAACAAATTATCGCAGAACCTGAAATTCTATTGCGCATGTGCGTAGTAATATAGTAATGATAGAACAGTGCACTCACGTTTGACCGCTGGAACTATACCCATGCTCCATCTATTAGTATAATAAGGTCTATGGTGAAAAACCATATTTTTACAGTGTTATCAACATAAATATTAGCTCTTAATTATTTTTATACTTTATACTTTAACTATTTTTATATTTCTTATGACAAATTTTATGTTTTGTTATTTTATACTGATATGTTTATACATTTATAAGTTGATTATATTTTATTTATTATTTTTATTGCAAGGATGTAATTTTTATAGTATGTTATTAAATATAATTAGTTATTAAAGTCAAAGGAATAGGTTTATATTTTACATTTATTTAAGTATTGTTTGAAATGCACAAATTATTAATTTTTATAAAATAGTAAATATTTAAATTTGAATCATTATAATCGCTGAGCAGAGTAACACGAGCTTAAGAATATAGTAGTGAACATGTTTTTGGCCTTAACTTTTAATATAATTACATTTTGAACTTGGAAAGTTTAAATAAGTGAATTGAATTTCATAATTTTACATTACATGGGAATCACCGGTGATACCCATCGTTCGGCAAAAAAAACTAGTCGGGTGTCATCGATGACCCCTCGTCGCCAACGTGTTAAATTATGAAAAAATAAAGTTGTGTCATTTATAATAGATCCATAAACAAATTGTATTCTTTATTTGATATATGTAATTATGAAGGGGTGGGGCAACAAATTGAAAATATACCTCCTTGATTTTTTATCGAAACCACTACTGCATAGGTTAGTACCTCGCTTAGAACATTCAGATAGTCGTGAAATATATTTTTATAGAAGAATCAATTAATTACCATCAATCGTGATAAGTATGTATATACATAGAAATTAAAATTCATTATTATGAGATCAGGAGTTATAATAATTTGAAATACACGTAACAATTTAAAAATAAAATCCATATTTCAATCAAAATATAATGTAGCCAATTGTTTTTTAAATTCCAAATTTCATAAATATTATATACATATAATGTTTATGTATATAGTATATTATGTTATATACAATAATTATATATATATGCTATCTTCTTTGTTGTTACATACGGTACTAACATATTTATGGCTGCTTACGAACTGAGTCCCAGTATAACCTTTTATGACGAATTGAGTCCCGGGTTGTTTTAGGGTATAAACCAATTGAGTCCAGTGAAATTATAGGTATAATACTAATTGAGTCCATGTTTTAATACTAACTGAGTCCCGTAAAATTAAAAAAAAAAAACATTTTCCTTCCCATTTTTACAGACTTAGGACTGTCTGTAACAAAAAATTCTACTCACTTAATATAACTTCATCCATGATTCTTGGCGTACCTCGTAAACTAGAGTGTTTAATATAATGAAAAAAATGTCCGGCCTAAATAATATGTATTATATTATGTTATCTGACGAATGTGATGATAAAAATGATATCGGTAGATGGTGATTATTATACAAGCGATGATAGAAATAAAATCTAAAATTCCCGACCCATAGTATGATATGTTACTATATTATCTGACGAAAGTCATAAAAATGATATGAATGATATGTATATATAGGTATATCCGTATGGAGCGGCTGTGCAGCATAATTTTAATTATTAT